CCAATGATACATTCGATCTTGGATCCCGAAGTTAGCCTGAACGCTATGCGGGCATGGAATCTGTAGCGTCAGCAGGACTTAGCTCTAGTATAAATTATCCCGCTTACATTAAGAGTAGCTAGAGCTATAGTATAGACTAGAGCTAGTCCACCAGACTAGCTCTATACTTAATACCGCGATACGCTGCCGCAGGGCTATAGCACATTCTGCCATAGCTGTAAATCTTACTATAATTTGGGCGAATGTTGGTTCTGTATTATTATGTTGTAAATAGGCTCCGTCGTTTCGATCCAAATAGGGGCAAATTACAGAGAGATCGATGAGTACACCGGGACGGGTTCTTTAAATCTATATCTCGGTTTAAAACCGTATTGTTTGGTCTTATAAAAAGACAAAAAAACAACAAGAAAGTAAGGACAATCTTTCCTGACAATAGGGGGACGCTGTTTTGTTTACGTTCGTGTTTTGTTATTTCGTTTTGCTTGTTTCAACAGGTTTCAATTTCGTGTTCCGTTCTGTGTATCTCTGTTTCCTGTGTCTGTGTGTCTGAGTCTTGTGTGTAAGCCCGCATAATGTAGATGTAGAAATACGACCATGGTAATAATGAAGTTAAATCATTCAGTACTATTTCGGCCATAGTTTTCCCATTCATGCGATGTCACAAGTTGAATTTTCCATCAGAGCAGATGTTTTTTTTGGAAGTCTGCTATGCTGTACAGTGTAACGTGTGTCGTGAACACGATCTGTCAACAAGCGGTCCCGAATACAAGCACGTGTATATCTACGGTCGTTTCCGCACAGAAGCAGAACCATGCGTAGAAGTTAAGCGATCACAACCACGCAATATTACTGGTCCCACACCAGTGGAGGAACATGCGAAGTCACGTAATATTAGTTCACGTTATAACCCATTTCACCATCTATTAATTCTTAATTTTTGGAGTCGCAGTATCATCAACCAGTACAGTAGCATACAATAAACATTGTCTGTGTGGCGTGTGTGTACTTGTCACTGTGACTTTGCCAAACGAAATGGTTAATGTATGTTACGATGCTAAGCCTCATGATTGCAGTCCACATGTTTTGTATTGACATTCAACATAAATAAACAAACATGTGGCAAAACTAAACTCCCCATATAACACCTTACACATAACCTACTGTACTCGGTAACACATGCATCACAGTCACAAGCCCGCGCGTAGCGCGGGGTTTCAGCTAGTCTAAGCAAGATTGGTCCCAACTGACTGTGACGCAAAAACGCGAAGCCAGCTATGGTGCATGTATTTATTAACGGGGGTGTTCCTGTGCTTGTGCCCTGATTGATGGCCATTGGCGGCCATCAGGCGAGTTACCACCAGCGCTCTCGTAATATACATGCACACCTTTCACGCACAATACTGCCTTGCGTTTGTGCTCAACATATCCCGTGAACATTACGCGTGCCACCGCCACATGATTTGAAATGTAATTTCAATGAAAAGTGCTGACTTTGAGGAATAACAGCCATAAATACCTGGGTAAAGTTGTGGAAGTGTTCAAAAATGATAGGGTGGAGATGTCCATTGTTGACCTAGATAAGCTGTTAAAAAGCCGCGATCATTTTTACGTTTGTGGATAAATTTTTGGTCACATCAGTTGGAAGCATTTGCTAGATTACACTATGGCAGAATGGTGCTAATCCCTGGCGGCAGCGATCCGCGGGCCTATAGTACGTAGAGCTAGTCCCACAGACCTAGCTCCAAGAAACGGGTATTGCTAGGGTTAGAATACCGGTTTCAATTTCTTGGCCCACAATTCCTTGTAAGTTGCTCGTATCCAACATCGACACAGCTAGCGTCACATGTATATAGTTCAACGACATCTATAAACTGCGTGCTTGCTCGCGGTAACTGGGCGCTACTGGGCGCTATACTTATTTAATTGAGTTATGCGTTTTCTGAGATTAATTGATCAAAACCAACAGACATCCGCCATGATCTGCCAATGTTACAGGCAACTAAAATCGCATATGGGACCTGATTCACAGTTGCGTAAGGCCAAATACACGCACAGTACATATCATTCGGCACTATTGATGAATTATTAAGTTGTTGCTAGATTGACGATTTCTGTTTCAATGTTTTAATATTTATTATATATATCAGTATAATGAATGTCTTCTTTATGCTCCGGCCAACGCAAGTAGCAAACGCTATGGTATGTAAATTCGTTTCGGGTTTTCCGCAGTGCCGTTCGAAAATCCATGCGGGCGAATTGCAAAACATGGCGTTGGCGGGGTGTTAGTTCGAAAATTTCGGTTTCGGCTTCTTGAAAATTTACACTGTGGCACAGCAAACTGGAGGTGATTACGTGTCTTAATAACGCAACGCTCGAACTACTATAACACAAGTGCTATATGCCCCCGGCAGGCCGCCGTAATGATGCTGACGGCTGTCGGCACGGTCTTCGTTTCCTAAATGCCCCAGCCAGTTTGTATTATTTAGCGTTATCTCAAGCAAAATATAGGGTTAAGGGTTAGAGTTTAAGGATAGGGTTAGGGTTATCGGTAGGTTAAGGCGCTGAGTTAGGGTTTTTGTTAGCTTTTAGCGGTTAGGGTTAGAGTAGGGTTAACAACTGCCGGGCATTTCAGGAAAACGAAGACGTGCCCGGCTGCCGCATACCTGTGTGAATGTGAGGCTACAGTTGCACAGTTTAATTGCAAAGGCAAATGTTTGTTGAATAAGGTTTACGCTCCTTAAATCATATTATTTTCCAAAGCAGTCTGTCTATAGCACCCTGAAGGCTGAATCAGTGAATGCTCGTGTGGGTAGGCAAAAACACGGGGCAGCCCATGGCTGGCACGCTTCTAATCATAATTGTTGCCTGCCAACCTGCAATGCACATGTGTCTGCAATGCATAGAGATTAGGTGGGTGCGAAAGTGTAGCTGATATATTTGTTCCAATTAGCTACGAAAGTCAAACAAGAATAAAGAAGACTTATGTATAAGACGTCTTGCTATGCACAAATGAATTTATCAGCAGAACACCAGACACCAGATGAGCCCTGTCGCACTGCGGCACTTGTTGTGGTGAGCTACAGTGTCATTGACACTTTCATATTGAAACGCTCCAAGTGCCTGTGACTGTGTCCGTAAAATGATGATCAATAAATTATAATCATCTGACATCTCTTCATCAAGTCCCAGGGCTCAATTTTAACGGTCGTCCGGTCGTCCGTGACGACTGGATTTTCTCTCGGGCAACTACAAATTGCTTCCGTGGTTGTCCGGTGTCCAACCTCTATAAAATTGTTATATTCGTAATGCGCGCGTTCATTTTACATACGGCCAGGGTTGCACAATACACTGCAAACGTACATGTCTAGACGGACTTGCGGCCCCGGTTTTTGCGCGCAGTGCACAGCTCGCGGCAAAGCCGCGCCCCAACAGCGAATACGCCGCCCCCTTTTTGTCCACTTAGACAGATACCTTAGACAGGGGTCTGAAAACGCACTCCGCGAAAACTGGGCGCAATCCAACCGACATTTCGGGATGGACGGCTTGAGGCCATCTCCAAACGGTCCCTAAACTTTTTTTGGAGTGGCCGCCTCATGGCTAAGACGTAGTGGCTCCTACAAGAAAATTCCAGAAATGCTGTCAATCAGCGATGACGCGCTCGCTCATTGGCCGCTACGCGATGACAGGCGCTACTGCCGAGTATAGTGTTATGTCTATCACAGAGCTTTTTACGAAGTGTCGTACGGCGCTCCACGTGGGGTGGCGGGGCCTAGATGCTATCTCCGAAAGTGCTGACGCCGTGCCGGCGCCTGACTGCGTACGTGCGAGGTTTTACCAACCTATTGACCTTGCGCTGCCCGTGGCGACGGCACTTCGTGCGAGCACCTGCGCTAACGTGGCGGGCGAATACTGCGAGCACGTGGTGGCGTGGCCGTGCCAGTTTTTACACGTAGCTAAGTAGATACTGGCAAAGCAGCAGCAGCAACCAAAACTCGCCCCTGCCGCGCAGCGCGGCTCTGCAGCAGCAGCAGCAAATGCCCCCACCCAAGGCCGCCATAGCCGAGCCGGTGTGTGACGAAAACTGCGCGATGTTACGCTTCCCGCTATACGGATTCGCGCGCCCGCCCTCCTTCGGCGCGCGAATTCGTATAGCGGGCAGCGCGAGATGCTATATACAACACACCGCGGTCGCGTGCGCCCAGTCCCGCGGAAGTGCGCGCCTTAACCGCTCTCGGCGGTCGGGGAACAACGCATCTTTTGCGCAACGCCACCTTGTACCCGGTCTCTCTGGACGCATTGTCTGGCTTGCTTGATACAAAGTATAACATTACGTGTTTAACAACACAATGTTTCGTGTTAATTTTCAATTTGTACTCATCTGTGACTTGACACAGTGTTAGTAATGTTAGTAATGTTAGTAGTGTTAGTTTTAACTTAATGTAAATGTTATGAAATAAATTTCATGGAACTTTTAATTACTATTATTATACGTCATTGATCCCAGCATCATTTACCACATTACCAATATTTTATTCTCTTCATATAATGAGTGAAACAATGCGAATGGCCATGTCTGCTGTCACTGCAATACGTCTAAAATGTACATGATTAGGCGTTTTGCTTTACAGCACTGAGTATCACGCGAGCAGATCGCATGCAGCACATGTTTAAATAATATCCGGACAACAAAAACTCTTGAGGGACAACCATATGCTACTCTCTTGGTTGTCCTCCGGACAACCCCAAAAAAACCTTAAAATTGAGCACTGAAGTCCTACTCTTCTACTTCTAGCATGATCTTAGTCTTACTCTTAGTTCTGCCTCATGAGTTTGCTGTTCAGTGACTCTGCAAGATCATGATCATAGGTTTGATACTGATAGCCATCTATGATCTAATTTAACGTCAGGATAAACGGTGGGATAAAGAACGACCAAAAAGTTCCATTTATTTAATCAAAACATTTATTTAAGAAATTAATAACATCTTCTAATTCCCCCAGGCAAGTAGTTCACGAGGTTACCGAAGAGTTCACCGCCATCTCTGCTGCTATCATCGCGATCATCGAGTCACTCAGCGAGGAAGAGTCGCAGCAGCAGCCGTGCGTGAACTTTATGAGCAGCGTTCAGAACGAAGAGAAGGAGAAGCTAGAGCTGGTTGTCAGGCTGCAGTTGCTCAAACAGTGCGTGCTGGACAATGAGGGCAGTCTGAAGATGCAGTACGAGGACGAGGAGAGACAGCTGAAGCTACGCGTCAGCGCCCTGGAAGAACGCATCGCCGAACACATCGAGGAGCTGCGATACGAAATAGCCAATGAATAGATCGTACTCTTGTGTGCACACAATCAATCTGTTAGACAGCTAGGTTGCAGTAATCAGATTCAATAACTGAAAGCGTGCAAGGGGTTGCATGAGCGTGTAGATGTTATTACATGTTAGGATACCTTCTGTGACGGGCTAGGGGTGTAAATTGGATAAAAGCCAAAGATCTAACCGAGGAAAGTGTGAAAATGTTGCCTAAGGCTCACGTTCAGCTTGTGAGCAAGCTGTCGCAGCACATCCCTGCCTTCACAGACGTTTTCGACGAGGAAACTTTCTACATCACAGCTGCGGTCTTCACCGTCGTGACGATACTAGTTGCGGTCGTGCTGGCACGGTTTATCACCATAAAGCCGGCCGATTAGGTGTTTGTCTGGGATTCTTATTTTGCGTTATTTAATTTAATATCAGGAAACTTGTACTTTTTTTTACACAAGAGAAATATGATGGAGGGTTTCAAATTTAACAACTTCTGATAGCGATTGTCTTCCTATTTATGAAAATTGGCATGAGTCACAAAATGGTAGTGGTAGTGTTAGGGGATCAGTGTATTATGTTGCTGAATAATTTCCAGCAACAGCTGCTATACATGCACACGAGCTTGACTATAGTATATGACACATCACTCCCCGACTGCTCGTAAAATATGATGCAGTGCAAATTACTTGCAAACACACTCACTGCTTGATAATTTTGTTCTACTCAGTACACTTTGCACGCAGTCACACTTCACAGACTAACGGCAAGGAGTGCAGTTATTCTCTCAGTCACCAATGTAAGCTGAATGGGAATGGAACAACGTATATTACAGCATACAGCTCCACAGTCATGCAGTGGACAGAACAGGTCACACAGACGATATCGGTGCATCAGAAATTTACAGTTCAGTTAGAGAATGTCAGGGATAGGGATAAGCTCACATATTCACTAGCAAGGTTTGTTGGCACTGTGACACCAAAACCGTCGTCCCAGTCTACTAAGCTAATGCTTCACAACACTGCAACAGGATCTTCCCTGTCGTATCCAATCGCAGATGGCTTCTTCAAAGCGTACATCACTCTTTCGCCAGGAGGCAACAATCTCGAGTTCCGCATCGAAGGACGAAAAGTGCACGGCATCACGTTAGAGTTTTCGATACCGGCGCGCGACCGTTTCATCCGGCTTGTGTACGTCCGATGTAAGGACGATGATGGCCGCTTCCAAGCTCCGGAATGGGAAGATGATTCCGCGGAGAGCGCTAAGCGTCGCGTCATCCTCGGAGCGCAGCTTCTGCAGATGTTCGTGGCGGAGAAGATGCGGGAGGCGGGGCATGGCCGCCGGACCATCCACTTTGAGAGCGATGCCGACGGCGTCCCGGTGTGCCACGATCATGAAACGCGGCTCAGCATGCAAGACGCTCACGGATTCAAAGATCCAAACACGTTCTTTAGACATCTGGCGAAGGAATTGGTTAGGTAAAACCACGTGCAGAGACTCCAACTCTCCCGTTTTGGGTGGGAGATCTCTCGTTTTGGGGCCATTTTCCCAAAGTCTCTCGCTCTCCCGCTTAAGCTGCATTTTCTCCCGCTTAAGTTTTGATTTCTCCCGCCCAAATAAAAAAAAGGTGTAATAACTATTTTAATAAAGTGACAGAATTAAGGTCAGCAATATCTACAGATGCTATTTCACTTTGTTTCTTTAATAAAATGAATCAAACAAATGTGTAAAAAATAGCTTGTTTCAATACTAAAAAACCCTTAAAGGAACAGTAGCCTCTAGGTTCTAGGGTTATTTTCAGCTAATTTAGGTTATAATTGCGCTACATAAAAAGTTTCATGGTTCAATCACCATTAGAAATATTTTTTAAAAATGTTTTAAAACTAACGACTACAGTTTGATTACAACGACGGTGGCGCCACTCAAAGCGCACGATCTGAGAAGTTGCGCAAAACCACGTTCCAGCCAAGGGCTACAGACCGAGGGTATTTCTTATTTATTCATTTAAAAGCAAAAGGATTGTAATATCTTATAAACGACATATAGTTTCAGTTATAATATGGATAAATTTGCCCTAAAATGAATATCGTTCGGTTAAATAGCATTTAGGTATAAATATAATTGCACTTTTGTGATTAGCCCTCGGTCATTTGCCTGCAAATCGAAAATGCAAATACGCAACTTTTTCAGAGTGGCAGCACGGTCGCGGGTGTCATGGCGCTGTTCAAATTTCATAGCGTTGATGTGTAAATAATTAATTAAGTATCTGGTGACAAATACATGTGGGTATAGACGATTTGTTATACAGTAAGTACAGTTGTATGCAGTAAAATCCTAGCGGCTACTGTCCCTTTAAAATCCAGGAGCTTACGGGGTTGCTGCTCCCTTGACCCCCGCCACGCTCGCAATTCGCGATCCGCGCGCTCAGAGTGTGGTCTCTAGTTTGCCAAGGGGTCCAGGCTGGAGAATCTCCACTTTAGGTGATGCTTAGGGTTGGAGTCTCTGCACATGGTCAGTCAGTGTCAGCATCCAGTGGGTGTCCTGCTCATGCGACTGGAATTGAGTTCAGTACATAGCCCGTTGTACCCAGTCTCACTAACAATTTTATTCACTGTGGAATACTAGCGTTAAAACGTTAAAACGAGTGAGGATTAGAATGTGCATTGTAGCATTATGGGTACACTTTGCTAACCAATGAAAATTTTTGACATAGATTTAGTTAAAAGCTAATAATACCCATTAATTACCCAATAAATTAAATACCTAATAATTCCCTATAGGTATTATTACCTCTTGATCTGGTATATTGTTATTTTGCTCTATTGCAGAAGCAATTTTAAAAACAAAGATCCAGCAGTGTGTAAGTGGCTTGTGTTTACATCCTTCACGCGCTACATGAAACCACACGACGCCCCAGCACCGCAGAATCACACGGAAGCTGAGCAGTACATGAAAGGACATGTAGTGTTGGGTAAGTAAGATATCTCTTGTTTAGTAACTGTGTTTAGTAACTGTGCTCAAGTTTATCACGGCAACCTGTCCTGTCCCGATTCCAGTTACTAGGCAATAACAAAAATTAATGACAAGTAAACTAGACGATCTGCAGCCGGATATCCGCGCGAAGCGCGAACAGCGCCGCCTCGCGGCCCCTTTTGATCGAAATCGCTGCCCTGTTGAAAATTTTTTTCTGACAGTGCCCTATGGGTAGAGGATGAAGCGGTGTAATCGGTCAATTGAGCAGTTGTGGGCATTCCAGAAGCCTTTCGAGTATGCACGTAGGGCGAGCATAAATTCAAATGCTCGTTATTGTTGCTTTGCGGCTCGGCGCGCGTCTTTTTCCTGTAGAAACCGAATTTAGCGTTTTGTCTGTTTCATGCCCTGAGATTATTTTCGAAGTTATCGCGTCCCATAGATGGCGCAACGAGTCCATCTACGAACCATTTTCAAATATTTAAAAAAAAAAAGCTCGGCTCGATGACCTAGACTGCCACGCGGTGCACAGTTCGACACACTAGCGTAACTCACTTCAGTATAGCCAACGATAATTGGCTGAGTGAAGGTCGGTAGCAGTCTCCCACTGCCGCTTCGACTTCCCGTATCCATCTTGACGCACCAATGTGATGTTCTCATGTTTGCCATTATGATTATCACGATGTTATCTGGAAAAGCTCCGCCTTCGTGGCGTCAGCGCGTGGCGTGGCGTTGTGGCGAGAATTTCGTCAGTCTGTGTGATTTCGCGTGACACAGCTCGGTTACGAAGAGAGACATTATGTTTTCATAAGAAGTCAACACTGTTCTTCAAATAGAAACAAAGATCGAAGCTGTTGGATGAGTATTTGTTTTGAAATCGTTTTGAGAGCGTACGTACAGCATTTTTGCATATATTACATCGTCCCAGCGTGCTGCTTATAGCAAAAACTTCGTCTACCCCTGCGGTCGAGGGGGGCCCTGATTGCTCTTGTGCAGAAAAACTTGGAACTCGCCTGCTCGCAGTTACCTTGACGGTGCAAGCCCTGCGGCAACAACTGCCTGCGGCAGTTTATCGAACGCGGGCTATAGTACTAGAGCTACCTCTATGTGATTCTTATGTGATTATTACGTCGTCATTGTTTGTATATAGGTGAACATTTCTATGTACATCAATAGAGGCATATGATTTGCGCATGTATTATTATATTATAAAACCAAGCTTATGCTTTCGCTGCAGCTGCCGCTCGTTATATGAAGCCGCTGACGCATAATAAAATACAATTCATAATAAAACTTATACATCACAGTGTAGAAGTAGACGGTGTTGACACTTTTATTGATATTTTCATTGAACTTGCAAAGAAGAGCAGCTGAATGCAGCTCAGCTGTTTCATTGTATTCCTGGTAAAATTAACGTTCAACAACTAGCTGAACGGCTAGGATTACGGCTATCGGCAATAATATGGCGACGGAGCAGGTTGGTGGGGGTTGGCTGTGTTCAATTATATGTGATTATTACGTCGTCATTGTTTGTATATAGGTGAACATTTCTATTTACATGAATAGAGGCGTATTATTGAACTTGCAAAGAACAGCAGCTCAATGCAGCTGAGCTGTTTCATTGTATTCCCGGTAAAATTATCGAGTGGTCGCTGGCAGCTATAGATTCGTGCGCCGGCCTATGCATTCGGCGCACGGCTCCATAGCTGCCAGCGCTGCATACTGTCGTAGGACGTTCCCGCGGTCGCGTGCGCCTTGCCGCGGAACTGCGCGCAAGATCTGCGCTTATAGCGCTTGGGATCAACACCTCCTTTCGGCAACGCTTCTCTAGTATCCCGTCTCATCTGGTTATCTTCCATTTATCAATGTTGCAAAGCAGCATTCCGTATAGCATGTTGTAACTACGTGTACATGGGGTTCATGGTAAAAAGGATTCGTACATCTAGTACTAATAATAGCTGTTATGCATTATTATTTCCTGTGTTGAGATGTAGTGTTTTCCATAGGTGGAGGAGGCCTGGCCATAATGAGCACAGCTGGTCTGCATACGTGGCCGGAGAGGGTGGAAGAATTGTACGATCGCCTAACGGATGAGCGGCTGATCGATTCTCACAACCTAATGCCAATTGCCTGGAACTGGTGAGAGAAAGAACTGTCAGTGTATATGTTGTTGAGAATAATATAACAAGATGTGTGAGGATGCCTCCAAATCAGAGTATGAAATTGTAGCTTTTGGTTTAATTACAGTTTCCCAAAATTTGTAGAGATTAGGTATCAGTTAAAAACGTTGTACGTTGAGCATGAACAGTGATCAATAGTCAAATGAAGATTTAGTATACAAGTACAGTTAAAACACTCGGCGTGTATGTTTTTTCTGAATCGTGTTGTAGGAAGCCATTCCACTGCAACTGCTTTTCTGCAAGCCTTGGTGCGACCATCCACGAGGTTGGTCATACACTAAACCTCGCGCACAGCAAGCAGGGCATCATGAGATATGGGTTTGTCGATCTCCGGAACTTCCTAATCGACCGAGATGATGGCAGGGCATTCTGGGAAGACTATCAGGCAGACTTTCTTCGCTACCACAAGTGAGTTTTTATCCAATACAATTTAGGTACCGAAAAACATTCCGCTATTTATATTTGTGCAGTTCTATAATAAATTAAAATGTACCTATTTGAAAAGTTTCGAACTACTAACATTCCCCAAATTTTATGCCTATTTCAAACTTGAACCTATACACTGGTAGCAGCAGTAGCATAAGGAATAGAAGCAGTAGCAGCAATAGCACAGGTCCTGACATTAATTTTTCAACCCAATGGGCAAGTTGGGTTGAATTTGCACTTTCCCGAATGTCAATTTCATTTGCCCGTAGTCACAGCGCGCGCTTGTAGCATACACTATGACAGTCTATAACAGTCTATACACTATTACACTATTACAACTAATTACACTATTACACTATTCCATACTATTACATACTATACTTTACATACGTCAACACTATTACAGTCTATAATATTACACTGTTTTACTCCCTACGTCTTCTGAGCTGCTTGCTCTGATTCATGCGCGCATGCCTGTACGCGTGCCTCTGTGTGCGTGCTTGCCTGCGTGCGTGCCTGTGTATGTGTGTGGGTGTGCTTGCGGGCGTGCCTACGTAGACCCGTAGGACCAACGACCCGTAGGATTATAGAACGGTAATCCATGGAAAATCGTAATGTAATTCACACGTTTATTTTTGCGTGCCGGCACACTCGTGTGTCATTCCCGATTGTAGCTTTTTCCTGAATTCCAGGAAAGAGTTGCTGTCGCTCTCTCATAGTCCAGCTATGCCCACCCCTACATTTTAGTAGAGATTAGTACCACGCTGAAACAATCGTGCGCCCCCCCCCCCATACTTCAATCACTGTCGGTGTTGTGGCATATTTCTCAGCCGAGAAATAAGTTGACGCTGTGTATTCTGCTCATGCGCCAAAAACCGGTCAACAAATTTGCCGTGTAAGGCCACGGAAAATTTCTCAGCCCGGGAAATTTTCCAACCGCAATATTCTTACAGCCTACAACTTTACCTGCTAGTGTTTAAATATATAAATAATATTGTAGAATGATAGGTGAAATTTTCCAGCTAGTTTAGACTGATAGGAGAAATTTCCTAGCTAGTTTATACATTTCCCAGCTAGTTTAGACTTCTGTAGACTTGGTACACTTCTGTAGTACAAGTCTGGTACACTTTGTGTATACATATATGTACCTCGGGTACATATCTGTAGTACCTGATACGACAACGACCCCTTCAGCTGCTAGTTTTTTAGACTTGTAGGAGAAATTCCTAGCTAAGTTTACACATTCCCAGCTTAGTATAGGAATGACGTGAGAAAAAGGTTAGACTAGGAGAAATTTCGGCCAGCTAGTGTATACATTTTCTAGCTAGACTATGTGCGCCGCGGTACGGCCACGCCGTCCTTTCACCGCAGGTGTTAGTTCAAATTGCAGCGGCACGCTCCCCCTATTGGCCATTAAATACAAAACAGGGAGTTACATTATGGGAATTCACTGGGATTCGCTTAGTCTGAATTCGTGGCACAGTGACTGACTTGACACAGCGTTGCTGGTAAGCATGTCATCGTAACATCGTTGAAATTGTTGGCATCTAAAAGCCCACGAAAAACTATAATAAAACTGAAATAACCCTAATTACCTTCAATGACTACGCCCACCGCATGCCACTCACGATGTTACTCGGTGACGATGCCCGCTCGCAAATCCCCATTGGTTGATACAAATCACGTGCCTCAAACTCCTCAATGATGCCCCAGTGTTGTCAAGGCACATCCATAACACAAAACCCCAATGCCTCGATAGCTGAACGCCTAGAGCAGAGACGACACGGCTGAAATGTCGTTGGATCGAATCCGCTCTGTTTTTAATTATTTTCTTTGTTTTCTGTATTTTTCTGTTTTATCCATATTATGTTTGTAGCAAAGCAGATAGCGTGATATTGTTCGATACAAGCGCACGCACACACTTGTACGTACGCACGCACGCACGCAACGCACGCACGTGTACGTGCACACACACTCATGCACGCACGCATGCACGCACGTGTACCTACACACCACGAACGTACGCACGCACACATGCACACACGTGTACCTGCACACGCACGCACGCACGCACTAGTCAGGTTCACTATGTCAATAAATAAGTTTCGTTCAGAATTATGGTAGATTAGCAAATCTATACATTTTTGAGAAAGGTTATAACATGAGGAATTCGAAAAACAATGTTTACATTTGCGGAGATACCGGTATGGCCGCCATTTTTGGATTTTCAAAAATGGCCCGCCATAAAATACATATTGGCGCGTATTTCTGCCTCTAATCACCCTAAAAACTTTTAAAATATGGTATCGCTATGTTTTCAGGGACAAGGAATCCAATGAAAGTATCGAATAAGTGTTATGGAGAACAGTAATACAAAAATCAAAGATTTTAACTCAAATCTGTCTTTATATTCGCGAAAGTGGCATAATGAAATACATGTTGTTAACAGGCAGTTAATAACGTCAAGATGTGTCAATCATTCATATCATGCTTAGACAGCATCAAACTTATAGCTAGTAAACGACAGCAAACATACACTGGTAGTCTGTAACATACACACATGTTTTACAGAAATATGCCATTTAAAGTTCATCTTCACTGTCCTGCGTGTCATAGCCGACAATACAGTCCGAATGCGTTTTCACAGTCCGTTCCACACAAGCAAAGGTCGGTGCAAGTTAAGTCATTTCTTCTACATGAGCACCTCTGGGTTGAGCAATTAGCTTTACAATGACTGTGGTGCTGGTAGAACTTGGGTGATGATAGGTAGTATGTGACTAGCTTTGTCGTCCTGATGGTAGCCATGTTTGTGTGGGTCGAACAGCTGTTGCCACATGACGGTGGCCTGTCACCAAACTCTACTCTGTATTCGCACACGTTCGATATGCTCCTCAAAAGGCACGCATTGTTGGAGGCAACTTGTTACTTTCTGCCGGATGTTTGCAAACAGATTGCCATATGAGGTCAGGGATACTTGCGATCTGAATACCTTTTGGGCAGCTACGCTAAGCATACAAAGCTGGCCAAATGTCTTTCACCTCCTGCATTAGATCGTCGTTCTCTAGTAGTTTTTATAGTGCTTTGACTGTGTTCCTTTCAGCGCTTGATGTAGTGATGCAAACGCATTTCGTTTTACCTACTCCTGAGAATCGACCGACATTGGTCTGCCCCAGTGAATGCGTGAATAGCAAGTAACAGCTGTTGTCTGTCTCTTCTAGCGCTCCCATCCAATGGGTCCTACCTCCACCATAACCTGATACCATGGCCATCAATGTGTCAGCTTCCTCGTGGTTGTTTGGGTCAAACTGCATGCTCTGGTTGGCTTCTAGTATGGCCCGCGATGCTGACGTGATGATGTAACTAGGAGAGTTTACGTTATACCAGTGTTGCCTCAGCAAGGTATATGGTATATCAGCTTCGTCTATTCGTGAAATAGGAAGCGGCTCATTGGTATATTTTGATGTTTGTATCATCTGCAATCTGGTATTGAACAGGGTCCTTGCCTTGTCGTAGTTTTCTCTTGGTTTTCTGCTTAAATGAGTCTGCCTTGTATGTGTCCAACACAAGGAATATCACGGTCGGATCCTGTCTGTCATGTTCAATAAGGTGGTCGTTGAAATGATGACCGAGATATTTGACGTGGTGATTGTCTCTGGTTTCTTGTCATCTTTCCTGGACGAGTACCATTCCATCCACAACACACAATTCGTAGATGTGATGTAGACTGGCGTTCCTGTAATCAGCCAATATCATAGCCTGTTCTGATGCTTCTGCTGCTTGTACATCAGATGAGTTTCTGTGGCTTTACCAAAGTGTCAAGGCTATGGATAAGCTTTGACTTGTCAGTGCATGGTAGGATTGAACCGTCGAGTGCAAAACAGTGCCTCTGGGGGTAAGAGTGAACTCGTAGTTCCCAATCGCATGCTTCTGATCGATTGTCACGGCTTGATCTGGCGTAGTACCAATCAACCGACGCGTACAGATCTTTGTTTCTTTCAGATCTACCGACTGGTCACGGATCTTTACCCGTTGCTCTTGTCTTCTGACATGTACCAGCCTGTTGTTCTGCTTCTTTGACTGGTGCCGCAGCAGGCTGACATCTTCCATTCATGGCGTTCTGGCAACGTAATCCACATACAGCTTCTGCCCAGTGTCGGTCGATATTCCAGGATCTGTGAGACACTCTTTGTAAGACATATTGTATGTGTGATGAAGTTGTAGAGCTGGTCACCTTCAGCAGGCAAAGGATTGCCGGTGACTCAGTAGGCAGCCCTTTATGCGATCAACGTTGTCATGCGGCTTTCTGCACAGCACTTGGTTGAACATAGATGATGCTGCTTGTGCTTGTCTACAGCAAGATTGAATTGCCATTGAATTCAGCTGAAAGACGTGACATCTCAGGAGTGGCCAAGAAGAACCGTTGACGAAGCGTTGGCATTATTGGGAATGTCAATTAATCCAGAATGTAATCTTTATCATCCTGTTGATTGTTCACATGCGTGATCTGCTCCAATCGGAGACAAAGGAATCGTACTCTTGTCACAGATAAGTTTCCGTATTGAAGTTCACGCCAGGTTCTGGATGCTTGTCCTCAACTCATGCATGTCTGCGATGTAACGTGGCCAAGGCGCTTGTATTTATTCGATCCATGGCGAAGAATAACTGCCTAGTGCCTCCCCAGCTTGAAGGTGGAAGACGAGATCGAAATTCCTGGATGCCTCATCAAAGTGGCAAGATGGGTTCAATCCGGTGGATGTAGTTCATCAAAAAAGTTGAACATTGCATTTGAGGATTTCTGCCGCTTCTCACATTTTCAGGCTGTTGAATGGTTGTAGTAGATCGTCATTGGTCCTGTCACGCTTCTGGATTTGAGCTTCTGTCGACTACTGATTTTGCTCAAGCTTCCTGGACCTTATCTGCTGGTTCTACGCAAATGGCTTTAAGGTTGGGCTCTCTTGTGAAGAACTGTTCCAGACTAGTTT